TATTTTTTCTTTATAATATTGGTTCAGAAGACTAGTTTAGCTTAATATGATAACTGATTAGGTTTTAATTATTTTTCTTCATCATCTTTAGGATTCATTTTTCTTTTTCTTCAAAGACCTTTTCTGTTTTTCTCTTTCTGCAGTTCTGTTTTCTTTGTTATCTGATTCTTGAGTTGATCTTTTCTTTCATGTTGTCTCTCTTTTCTTTTTAGCTTTAGTGATAATTTCATTTTCTTTCTTCTAATCATTTATAAGCTCATATTTAAAGTTCTATATACAGGTTTGAAATCTTTTGTCAAACTTCTTTTTAATCATATCTAACATCTTATATCTTATATTTTTATTCTCTATCTTCTTCTTAATTTTTGCTTTTCTTTCTTTAGTTATAAAGTTTTTTATTAGGTATCTTCTTGTTTCTGTTTTTTTCTTCTTGTATTCTTCTAAAAAAAAAATTTATGTCTGCTTCTTTGTCATTGAACTCTCTTATTGTATCTTCTTTTTAAAGTATTTTAAGGCCTTCATTGCTAGCTTCATCTTTGATAATATTATATATTTTTTAGTATACTTCATATTCAACAAGATGATCTATATTTTCCATCTTCTCTTTGCAAACTATACAAGTATTTGTTTTATATATTTCAGATTTTTTTTTTTTTGGTGTTAAGGTGACTCTTCGGTCAAGTACTTTATTATTATTTGGATTACTTTTACAACTAAATGATCTACATTCATCATACATATATTTTTATATATATAACCTTGATACAATACTCTTTAGTAACTACCTTAGAACAATTTTATTCTTGAAGTAAATCTGCTAGAGCTTTCTGTACCTACAATCTGACTGATCTAGGCTTTGGTTGATATGTATGAGCTAAGGCCCGCTACTTGCGCTCCAGTTTTTTGATCACCACTACAATAATCTACTTTTGCTCTTATAGAATTTACCCAAACCTGGTACATACTTACAGACTATTACTAGTATCCTCAGCTATCCCAAACTACTAATTCAGATGGCCCAAAAAGGCTATAATCTGCTTCTGGTCTCTATGGTTAGGTCCTTTTCCTCTGACTACCCTCTGGTAGCCTGGTTGGTAGAGTGCCTTGCCAAGCACTTCGGTTCCATTTAGTTTTACCGGTTCTCTAAGTATCAATCTTGTATATAGTACCATTGAAAATCTGTGCTACTTTTCTATTTGGGACTTTCTAAGCAAATGCCACATCGCTGTATTAGCCCTGTGGCTTTCTGCGATTCCAAAGGATTTATCTTGAGTTTGCACTGCTAAACTGGCTTATATATCTTTGTGTAACTCCTTATATTACACAAATGCTTTAAAATTTTCCAGTTTCTGGCAAACTATAATTGGTATAACCACAGTTACAGGATCTCGAGTTTTCCTGGCTACGACAATAGTTACTGAATTCTATTTTTCTTAAAATCTAATTTTCATTCTCTATAGGAATTGAACCAATACTCAACTGCTTGGAGGTGCAACAACTTGACCACTTTACTAAGTCACTACACCCTTATATTTTAGATTTTTTTATGTTTAGTTCTGTCAAGATTGGCAGTAGCTTGTCTAGGCACTTGACTTAAAACATCTACCTTTTGTTTTTCTCTCTGCTTGTATAGTTCTTTTTCTTATTCTTATTGATCTATCTCTATGTTTCCTCCCAATCTAATTCTTTCTATTTATTTCTATTGATCTATCTAATGTTTTTATCTAAATTTGCTTATTCTGTATTTAAGATAGTTAAAGCTAATTTGTTTACAACTTTTCTTATTAGATTGTCTATTGTAATATCTCTTCATCTTGCTATTATGTATGACTTTTTTGATCATAGCCACTTTGTTATTACTGTTTTCTTTTCTCTTGCTTCTTTTTTTGTTAGTTTATCTGCTATTTTATTATATATATTTCTACTATATCCTCTAACTTTTCTTAGTTATACTCTGAAATTTCCATCTTCTATATTTTTTGAATCTGCCATATAAGACTTGTATTCTTGAGCTTCAATATTTCTCTTTCTTTTCTGAACTATCTTTGTATTTAAGCATTTGTATAGAAGCAAGACTATCTATATGTATTATTATCTCTGTGTCTTCTGGTACTGCTAGTAATGCTATTCAAATAGTTTCTAGTTCTGTTTTTATTAAAGATAATTATTTTTTAAGTATATAGCTGAACCTTGTTATCTCCTCTTTATTTTTTTTTTTGTGCTTTGTAATTGCTACTTAGCCTGTATTTATTTGTATTCTTTGAGAACTTCTTCTTTATATAGTAATCCATCTGTGTAGAAATTAACTTTTTTTATATCTTGTAGTTCTTGAACAATTTCTATAAGTTCTTCTTGTCTTTTTTTTTCTTTTACCTAATTTTTAATTAGTTCTTTAGGTAAAGTTCCTATTCTGATCTTCTCTTATGCTTTTTAGTTGCTCTTCACCTTTTTCTAGTTTTCTTTTGTTACTTTTTTCTAGCTTAGCATTTCTGTTCGAGCTTAATTTTATTTTCTTCATAGCTAATTGCTGATTGCTTGACTCAATCTTTTCTTAGTACTTTTCTGTTGCTTCAAAATTTTCTTGTAAATAAGCATTGTGTAAATTTTACTTGTCCTTATTTCTGAAGCAACCTTTATATAGTTAGATTCTAATTCTATTATCCTTGTTATTTTTTATTCTTACCTAGCATTTTATATTATAAGTTTTTTTTTTTTTGTTATATTTTCTTACTATTCTTCTGATCTTGAGGATGCTTTTTTCTTCTTTTAGCAGAATCTATTCTTTGAGTTTTTTATCAGCCTTGATTTTGGTTAAGGTTGTCTTTAGACTCATGCTATTTCTTCCTTCTTTTTGATATTTTTTTTGACTTTTCTTGTTCTTCTATATTCGATTACTTGCTTTTTTAACTTTTGGAACTATTTTGCTTTCTTTCCTTTTGTTTTTGTTTCCCCTATATATTTTTATTTGTTTTTATATTATCATTCTTGTATTACCTAGTTAAGTAGCTGTTCTAGTATAAAAATATTATAGTTTTTATATTGGAGGAATTTCTGTCTGTTTTTTTTTTATTAGAATATCTGTGATTTCAGTTTCTTTCTCTGCAAGTTTAAAATTCTTTTTAATTTCTTCTTACCCATATAAGATCTCTAGTTTTTTGGCTTCTTTTAGTTAGTGATGATATCTGTATTAGATATTACCCAGATTATCTACAGATAATTGGATATTCTGGTTGTAAACTTAGCTATCTGAATAAATATATCTAGATAATACCCGAGTAGACATATCTGATAATCTTTGGGTAACAAAAGTTTAAATATTCATATAGGCTATCCAAGCTAAGTAAATATAAATAAATTAATAATAAACTTAATATTTCAATATACTTTACAAAAAATTATTTTTAAAATACCATATTTTTCTTGAAAGTTATATGTAATCTAAAAATGAGTAAATGATTAACCAAAATAAAGTAGTACTTCGATAAAAGGAAACTCGTATGTTGTTTAATCAAATTATTCAAAAATAAGCTAACAATCATTTAATTTGTTTATATTCAATTTTTTGAATTGATTTAATTGATATTTTAATTGGTTATTTAAAGATAAACTAACACTAACTTAGTTTTTTATATGAATTACACCAATATGATCGAAGTTTAGATTTTTTTTTTTTATGTTGATATAGGTTAATATAGTTTACAAGTATAATGTTATTATTTTTATTATTTGAGAAATTCTGGTCAAACAGTTGGATGTTTTTTTATTATCTAAACTAATAGACTAAATTTCATGAAACTAAAGTCTTTTAATTTCTAAGACTTTCTTGAAAGACATTCTACTTATTCAGGTACTATAACCTATACAGTATATACTAAATATTATATTTAAATTTTTTATAAATTTTTTGTTTAAACTTTTTTAATTAACTTTTTGTTATTAATTTTAATTAATTTTATTAAAAATATTATTTATTTATACTTTTAAAACTATAAATACTTTAATTTTTTTTTTTTTAAATCTTAAAGGTGAGGCCATCAAATATTTTAATTTGTTTTATACAATAAATAATTATATATATATTTTTATAAATTTTTATACTTATATTTTTAATTTTAAATATTTTAAAATTTATCAAAAACTATATACTTGACCAATTTAACTAAAAATACCTTATACGTATAATTATTAATTTAAATAAATTTATAGACAATAATAAAATCAAAATTCCATAAATAAAATATAATTTATATCAAAATTTTTTTAAAAAATAGGTTTATAAACAATTTTGAACCAGAAACAATTATACAAATAATATCTGACTTTTATTAATATTACTAAACTACATTAAAAAATATTTAATAAATTTGTATATACGTATACGTATAAAAATTTTTTTAATTTTTTTTAATTAATAATTTTTTCTTTAATGTGCTACTAGTACAAAAGGTAAAATCCTATTTGTTAATAATATAAAATATACGCATAACATTATTAGTATCTGTTGGCACTTGATGAAATATTATAAACTATAAAAATCAGAAAATTATATATATATATATATATATATATAAAAACCATTCGTAACTAGTACGGTTTAACATATCTACACATTTCGACGGTGATTCCACAATAGCTCTTTATTTGCGAACAACGTGGACACAGTCTAAATATCGTAACGAATAATTAAATAATACTTGACACATCACATTGTATATTGATACATGATTTAAGCATCTAATTGTGAATTACTGTACAACTGGGGTGCAAATAAATTTAAATGTCCCGTTAATAATGAGGATCAATCGTCATCATCTATATGAAGTTATATCCTCAGCTTTGCTTTCTACAAAACGAGATATAATATATATTATAATATTGTTAATAGAAAACTTTCATATCTGACATTGTCCTGTTAAAAGGTGTTTGAATGTTTAAGTCATTAAAATTGCCCGTCACATTCCAATAGTTAATAAAAATTAATATTTCCGTTTTCATTAGGATCAACCCTCTTCAGAATCAGATATATCATTTAATTGAGTTAATCCTAAACTTTCTTCATTAAAAGCGTTCAATAACGTAGCATCTCTTGTTTTCATCATATCATGTACATCTAATGATATTGATGATCGTAATACCCCATTACCGTTTTGCGAAGGCCTAGTCAGTAGTCTATCGGTTTTTGCACCATTTAGAAGAAATACACCAGCGAAAATAGTTAGGAAACCACAAAATAGGCTGATTACATTGACCGCATTGCTAGTATTGAAACCTTGAAATAGTAGGACAGAAGCAAATATTGTCGACGTCGTGAAAGAGACATAATATATAGGGTTTACACTGAAAGATAAAGTATTACGTATTAATATGTGTTACACAAGAAAAGAGAATTATAGGTAAGAAACCTTACATATTAGTTTCAAATTGATCCAAAGCTTTGTTGAAATAATTCATTTGTACCAATATACACAGGGCAGAAATGATTATGAATACATAAGTTGATGGATGGGTTAACTGATTGTTACCCGCGAACGTCAATTTGAGAGCTATACCAAAACCTTTGCACGACATCACAGATATTGAACCAACTAAAGAACAAATAGATAAATATACCAAAGGGTTTTTTTTCCCGTATTTTGGTACAATACGATGTATCGCGATAATTGTATACGAAGCGACCAGCACACAGTATATTAAAAAGGCTATAAATAGAGTAAAATGATAGAAATCAATATCACTATGAGCAATGGTAGAATTAAATGACATGAAAAGTGTAACACCTGCCAGGTTGGAGAGCAAAGGCTAGAATTTCGTCAACAGTCAAAATATCCCTATCCGCTGGTGCATGTATCACAATATTTATTGAACCAATTAAACACAAGCCACACCCCACTGTCCCTATTCGCCCAAGATTTTCCTTGAGAAATAGTGAAGCTAAAACAGCTCTAACCGTTTCCAAACAGTTGTAATAAAGGATTAAAATAAGACCAACAATACAGTTCAGTTATGTGTAAAGTCAAAAAAGCATTAGTTACATACCCGATTAAAACACTCAAAGCACCAAGGGGAGTTACAAGGATAGCGGGAGCAAATGAATAGGCAGCAAAATTAAGCAATTCACCAACCACCACTGGTAAATTTTGAGTAATAAAATTGAAAAAAAAAGATAAGTAACAATAAGCATACAATTCACAAAGGATTTACGAGAAAAGAACTTCATTAACATACTTGTACCCATTCCTACCCACCAGATCGGATTCTTTAGGTAACTATGGTCGTCACTAGAAGGACCTGTAACAAAGAAATAAGTGAGTTAAGTAACCAAACTAACAAATATGGAGGTTAACAGCCAAACTACCATGTCTGCGTGTTGCATCGATTAGGCCCTTCTTCGTTATGATAAAAGACGTTCCGATCAACAGACTAGAAGAGACAGCCAGTGCCAACCCAATATATTTGTCGCGATCACCAACCATTATTTATAGTCTTTAGATATTTTCCACAACTATTGACTGTTGACGAAACCGAAAAATAAAAAAATTCAAGAGCAAAAACTTAATTATTTAACCCTGCTTCAGGATTCTTAACCTGTTCCATGTTGTACAATTTTGATAAAACTGATACGTTTATAAAGTGAGGGTAACCGTATTTGGAAATTTTAATACTTCAGACCTATTTTTAACTTCGGCGCATCAGCACACATAAAATTCCACTTTTCCCATTTAACCTCGTAGTGTTTGTTGATTAAAGATGGTCTTCATTACCATGAAAATATTTCATCATAACAAAGAAGAATGCAATTTTAGGCTGAGTGAGCTTTATTACTCCGCATCTCTCCGTTGTTCGTATTAAACATGTTCGTATTAAACGTGTCCTAACATGTTTGATTCCTGAACTTTCTAACCTAGGAAATTTTTAGAAATATACATAATAAACATTTGATTACGTATTCAAAATGAAAATTATTTGCCAAATAATACATAATCTCATCTTTAAGGTACATCCTTTTAAAAAACAGAACACGTGCAAAAAGTAAGTTTATTTCCGAAATGATATAAAACTACCACACGCATATTTGTTTTTAAAGATCAATAAGCAACATAATAATGATGATGATGATTGATTGAAGCTCACCAAAACTGAATTATTTATATGCCGAAACAAACTGTATAATAATTGCCC